TACACGACAGTCAAAGAGGGTTACAGGGCACAACCTCGGCCTCCGTTTGGAAAATCAGATCATATAGCCATCTTCCTCATGCCAAAATACAAACAAAGGCTTAAACAGGAAGTTCCGGCTCAGAGGGAGGTTGCACGCTGGACGGACCAATTGGAGGCCGCTCTACAGGGCGCACTCGATGACGCAGACTGGGGCATGTTCCGACGCAGCTCTGATGACATCAACGTGTTTACGGAAGCGGTTGTGGGATTTATTGGGAAACTGGTAGATGACATCATACCGAAAAAGACCATCAGAATGTTTCCCAATCAGAAGCCGTGGGTGGATAAGACCATCCGCGATGCTCTGAGATCTCGTACCACGGCGTATAATGCGGGACTTGAGTCGGGGGATATGGGCTCGTTTAAGGCTGCGTCGTACAGGGTCCGAAAAGCGGTAAAAGAAGCGAAGAAGCGCTACGGAAGGAAACTGGAGGCACAGTTCCAACAGAGTGACTCTAGAAGCCTGTGGCAGGGACTAAGGACAATGACGGACTATAAAGCACCAACATCCGGCATGATGAATGCGGACGTGTCCTTGGCAGACGAGCTGAACACCTTCTTCGCTCGTTTCGAGGCTGCAGCTAACGGTAACAGCTGCAGACAGGAAGAAAATGCCAATTCTGGGAACGCGTTCGTCATTTCCGAGCATGACGTGAGGAGAGCCTTCAGGAGAGTGAACACCAGGAAAGCAGCAGGACCGGACGGAATCTCAGGTCGTGTCCTCAGAGCCTGCGCTGACCAGCTAGCACCTGTGTTCACAGTAATATTCAATCTCTTGTTAAACCAGTCGGTAATCCCCACGTGCTTTAAAAAGTCCATCATTGTTCCAGTCCCAAAGAAAATCCATCCTGCTTCCCTCAATGATTACCGCCCTGTGGCTCTGACCTCAATAGTGATGAAGTGCTTTGAGAGACTGGTCAGAGACTTCATCATCTCTTCACTACCAGACACACTAGATCTACTACAGTTCGCTTACTGGCCAAACCGTTCAACAGATGATGCCATTACCCATCTCCTCTCAATACACTGCTGGTCATCACCTTAATTAATTCACTCCGTATTGCTGCTGTTAGCACTCGCACACTTTACACTTCATACTGTATTTGCATTTTTAGTCTAATTTAATTTTTAATATTTAAATTTTAACATTTATATTTTATTTTGTGATGTAAAAGTCTTATATTATTATTGATTCTTCTCTCTACTTGTTCTCCCTCGCCTTCTTGCAGTCGTGTAAGCATTTCACTGCATATCATACTTTGTACGATTATGTATGTGACAAATAAATAAATCTATCTATCTAGCAACTTCAGCGCGAAATTATCGCTAATTTGCCTACAAACGTCAGGTGGTCATAATAATCTGGCCGCTCCAGTGTATATGTTATATCTACACACCATGGATATCTACACTGCACTATGTTCACTGTACTCACACAATACTCTTTATACTGTACGCCTATATTCATGCGCACACACACACACACACACACACACATATGTACATGTATATATAGCATAGCAAGTATTTTCATTGCATGCAGAATATATATATATTGGGTATAACATATATGATGTACAGTAAATACACCTTCTATGTACATCCTCGTGTATGTATTCACACTACTCTGTATACACACTGGGGGAATTTATAAAAACTGGAGCAGCTATGCAACCAATCACGGCAAACAATCAGCTTTTCTGTCTCATTTTCAAATCTCAACTGGGCAAACTGAAGAGAGAAGCTGGTTGCCATAGGAAACAGCTCCAGTTTCTGTCTGCTCCAGTTTTGAAAAATTCCCCCCACTGTATGCTCACATGACCATGACACTTTACATAATAGACTATTTTCTTCTTCTTTTTTCCCTTACCTTACGGCTGCTGTTCTGGAGAGCAGTGGCGAGTCAGCGCTGGTCCGGTGGGTGGAGCTCCAAGTGGGGTCCTAATTTAGCTGGCAGGCGATCAAGCAGTCGCCGCCAGCTAAATTAGGACCCCACCTGGAGCTCCTCCCACCGAACCAGCGCTGACTCGCGGCTGCTCTCCAGCACAGTGCTGATGTAGGGGAAGACGAGGCCGTGCAGTCGGACGCTCTGCACAATGACTTGTGTCTTCAGAGTATTGATGTGAGCAATGATCTCCTTGGCTCAAATTATGTTCTGCGGTATGTAAACAATAGACTGGGGGCACGCTAATGTACTGCAGGAGAAAATATAGGTCAATGTAATAAAATGGATTCCTTCATCAACCATGTGTGCTCCGCTGATGTCAGGTGAGGAGAGGGCTCCGTGTGCACAGGCCTGGGTGCCATCAGAGTGCTGTAATGGTGGAGGATGAGTGGGGCGGGATCGCTGGCTTCTTTGTGTGTTTACATGCTGCATACATATGTAGAGAGGCATGTCACCTGTGCACTGCAGCCTCAGGGATCCCCTCCACAGGGTGTGTACATGGTCATCTCATGTTTAACCAGGCCGGCATGTGTCATGTGTGCCCATATCCTCTGCTAACATTAATAGGTTAAATGATCCGTAGTACAAGTACATGTTATGTACTATGGATCATTTTACCCATTCATGTTAGCCGAGGATAATTGAAAATCTATTGCTGCAGTGTACTCTATATGTAGTACATAGTACTGTGAGGGAAGCTGGGACGGGGCTTGCTGTAAATCTATTGCTATAGTGTACTGGACGTGTGTAATGTATATGTAGTACATATATACAGCACACACCTCCACTACACTCCAGCAATAGAGTTACAATTCTCCGCTGCTAACATGAATAGGTTAAATCATGATCCATAGTACATAACATGTAGTTGTACTATGGATCATTTAAAGTCACCTGTCCCTTTAAAAAAAAAAGTACCGGTAATTGGTATCGGCAAGTACAGTTGGTATCGGCAAGTACAGGAGGGGAAGTGTACTTGGGCCTGAAAAAGTGGTATCGGGACATCCCTACTCTGTACCCCATAAGAACAAAGTGAACACAGAATTTTAGAAATGTTTGCAAATGTATGCCATATATATTCACACCCTTTGCAACAACACTTGGAATTTAGCTCAGTTGCCTCCCATTTTCTCTTGATCGTTACTGTGATATTTCTACACCGTGATTGGAGTCCCCCTGTGGTACATTACATTGATTGGACAGGATTGGGAAAGGTGCACACCTCTCTATAGAAGACCTCACAGCTGACAATGCATACTGTACCAGAGCAAAAGCCCTGAGGTCACAGGAACTGCCTGCAGAGGTCAGAGACAGGATTATTGCAAGGCACAGATCTGGGGAAGGCTACAAAAACATTTCTGCTGCCCTGAAGGTTCCCGGGAGCACAGTGGCCTCCATAATTCTCAAATGGAAGAAGTTTGGCACAACCAGGCCAAACTTAGCAATGGGAGGAGAAGGGCCTTAGTAAGAGAGGTGACCAAGAACCCAATGGTCAATGACTGAGCTCCAGAGATCCTGTGTGAGGATGGGAAAAAGTTCCAGAAGGACAATCATCACTGCAAACCTCCCCTCCCCCGATCTGACCTGTATGGTAGAGTGGTTAGACAGAAGCCTCTCCTCAGTGCAAAACACATGAAAGCTTGCTTGAAGTTTGCAAAAAAGCACCTGAAGGACTCTCAGACTGAGCAACAAGATTCTCTGGTCTGATGAAACCAAGATTGAACTGTTTGGCCTCAATTCTAAAATGTTATATCTGGAGGAAACAGGGCAACGCTCATCACCTGCCCAATACCATCCCAACAGTGAAGCATGGTGGTGGCAGCATCATGCTATGGGGGTGTTTTTCAGCAGCAGGGACTGGGAGAGTGGTCAGGGTTGAGGGAAAGATGAATGGAGCAAAGTACAGAGATATCCTCAATGAAAACCTGTTCCACAGCGCTCAGGAACTCAGACTGGGCCGAAGGTTCACCTTCTAACATGACAACGACCTAAGCACACAGCCAAGACAGCACAGGAGTGGCTTTGGGGCAACTCTGTGAATGTCCTATAGTGGCCCAGCCCCAACATTAACCCTATTGAACATCTCTGAAGAGACCTGAAAATGGCTGTCCACCGACGATCCTCATCCAAGCTGACTGAGCTTGAGAGGATTTGCAAAGAAGAATGGCAGAAAATCCCCCAATCCAGGTGTGCAAAGCTTGTCATGTCATACCCAAAAAGACTCGAGACTGTAATTGCTGCCAAAGGGGCTACAACAGAGTAAAGGGTGTGAATACCTAAGTACATGTCATATTTCAGTTTTTTATTTTTAATAAATTCACAGACATTTCTAAAATTCTGTTCTGTCACTTTTTCAAACAACTAGTATCAGGCAGCAACATAACAAAACTGAAAAAGTGAAAGGGGGTCTGAACACTATCTCTACAAATATATGTGTGTATGTATGTATATATATTAGGGATGCGCCGATACTGGGCATTTTTACTAGTAGTCATACTTTTGAGAATGCCCCGATACTAAGCGCCGATACCCTTGCTTTACATTTTTAAACTGAAGCTGGCGCTATAAACAGGCGCCAGGCTTCACAGCACAACTGCTGAGGTCCTCACCAAGGCCCCCCCCAGCCTTCCTGTGAACAGCTGCACCTGTTTACAGCACCGGCCTGTAATCTTCCTGTATCGCAAATTTCCTCTTCCTCCACACCGCTCACACCGGCCCGCAAAACCAACCGGGACCCCTGGTGAGACCACATAGCCCAACATAGAGCCCACACAGTCCACCATGGACCCCGCACAGCCACCTGAGACCCTGTGCAGCCCAACATAGACCCTGCACAGCCACCTGAGAGTCCACCATAGACCCTGCACAGCTGCCTGAAACCCTGCAGAGCCCACCATAGACCCTGCACAGCTGCCTGAAACCCTGCAGAGCCCACCATAGACCCTGCAGAGCCCACCATAAACCACGCACCGCCCACCATAGACCCTGCACAGCCACCTGAAAGCCTGCACAGCTCACTATAGACCCAGCAAAGCCCACTATAGAACCTGCACAGCCACCTGAGAGGCCACACAGGCACCTGAGAGCCTGCATAGACCCCACAGAGCCCACCATAAACTTTGCACAGCAACCTGAGAGCCCGGACACAGCCCACCATAGACCCCACACAGCCACCTGAGACATTGCATATCCCACCAAAGAACCTGCAGAGGCACCTAAGAGCCCATGGAGCCCACCATAGGCGCCACACACCCACGTGAGAGCCCACATAGCCTACCATAAACCCCGCACAACCCCCCATAGACCCTGCACAGCCCACCATAGACCCCACCTGAGACCCCTGCACAGCCTACCTAAGACCCCACACAGGCCCCCCAAGACCCGCACACCCTGGAGCAGTAGAGTATGTAGCTTCATGTTGTTCCACATTCATGTAATCAGGGCTTTAAAATTTCGATGGTGTCTCACCAGTCAGTCAAAACTTTCACCAGTCAGCATGACCGGACTATAGCCTTGCAATTTATGTAAAAAATTTTTGGGGACAGATAGAGCTTTCTTTTGGAGGTATATAATCACCAGGGGGGTGGGGGGGCTATTTTTTTTGACTATGTAATGAAAAAAGTACCATAAATGTAAAAACAAAAAACAAAGTTTCCCTACATTATGTTATAAAACATTTATTCTTACCCATATTTTTAGTAAAACAAAAGTTGGGGTCACGTCGGGTAAATAGACACCAAACATGTCAAGCCTTAAAATTACGTGCGCCTGCAAAATCGCAAAAAAACGCCCATAGGCGACGATTAAAACGCTTTTACTGCTCATCAGTTTAGTGTTATCAGTGATGAATGTCTCTAAAATGATTGCTCTCACTCCAACGTTTGTGGCGATATGTAATATGTGCGGCACAATAGGCGCAATCGTCGTTTTCGCACATAGGCGCATCTGACGCATATCTTATTTTAAGTCGGGGACTTAAAAAAATTTTATTAATTTTTTATGATTCTTTAATTTTTGTATTACTTTTTTTTTTTTTTACACACAAACTTTATTGCTATTACATGGGGGGCTAAGAAGCCCCCTATGTGATAGCCAATTTACATGACAGGTCCTCTTTATGGAGACATCACGGGTCTCCAAGACCCCTAATGTCACCTAGGGACCCCCAGAGAAGCTGATGAAGCAGAGATTGGCTTCATCAGCTTCTCTAGCTGGAGAGTGACACTGAATGCAGGAAGTGACGTAATATACATCACTTCCTGCATTCGGGGACTGAGAGGAGATCAAAGGGGGTTCGTATACTGAACTCCCTTTGATCTCCTGTCACAGAGCCGTGCCGGTCCCGGCCGCATCGGACACAGCGGATCTCGGGACCGGCAACGGCAGTGACAGCTGCTAATACAAGCGATCGAGCGTCTCTAGAGACGCCCGATCACTTGAGTGTAAAGCTCCTGGCCGGCCGTGTCATTACAACGGCCGGCCGGGAAGCTATTCGTTGGGCTCCACCATCCTCTCGTCACGGACGAGTGGATTTTTCAAGCCCTGTGTATAATGCATTGCTGGGATTTGTAGTCCTCTATAGCTGGTGGTATTCTGCATTGTTGTATTATGTATTGCTGATATTTGTAGTCCCTCTTGGAGTCAGTGGCAGAACTACCAGGGCGCAGCATTTGCAACTCGGGACCGGTCCCTGGCGCTCCACCACTGTCCTCCTGAGACCCCACACAGCCACCTGAGACCCCACTATAGATCCTACTGTTGCTGCAACTAATGATTATTTTCATAATCAATCATGAGGCCTAATGTGAGAGCTGATTATTTGTAAATTCAGTCACAGAAGACTCAGAGACTGCTATGGACTCCAGAAACACAAGAATTCTACCCAGACACAATTATTCACACAGTGGTAGTGACTGAGAAATTACAGCCCCGATGCTGGCGACGTACACTGTACTTCGTCAGTCACGAAGGGGTTAAAATGTGTTTAGTTCAAACCCCCTGTACCAAACTGCTATGGAGAAAAAACTGCAATGCTTGCTGGCGGTCATATCATTTGATGAAAACTTAAATCAAATCAAATCGTGACCAGAATCTGAATAAAAGGTACCACACCACTAAAGTATCAAGTCAAAAAATAAAGAGAGGAGTTGGGGCTTTTTCTGTACCAAGTGACAGAGACCAAGAATTACCACATGATAAAACAAAAGTATTTTATTATACAAAGGTTACAAAATGTTTAAAAACATAATTGATATGTGCACATTACAAAACAGAAAAAGGAAAACAGATTGATCTCCAAATAACCATTCCAGAGTTATAATGTGATTCCAATGAGATTACAGTCAGTAGGCGGGGAAATCTCTCAGTAGAAAATATATTTCCTCACCAATTCAGAAGGGGCCGGCTTCCCGGGCAATCAGGAAGCCAGGCGGCATGTTATTACCCACCGCCTGGCTTCCTGGAAGCCGCCTCCAGTGACGCCGCACATCCCCGGTGACGCCGCACATCCCCGGTGACACTGCACAGTGGGGGGAATCTATCAAAACTGGAGCAAGCAAAACCAGGAGCAGCTGTGCATGGCAGCCAATCAGCTTCTCTCTTTCATTTTCAAATCTTAACGGAACGAACTGAAGAGAGAAGCTGATTGGTTGCCATGAGCAACTGCTCAAGGTTCTGTTCGCTCCAATTTTGATCAATTACCCTCCAATGTCTTTTTATCTGTTCTAGCAGTCATATGTGTAAAATGTGAATGGTGGGGGGAGGGGGGACTTTGAGGAACCTGGACTTGGGGCAGCAGAGAGTAAATGTGACCCAGGATAATGGGGAGATCTGAGAGAGACACAGGACAGAGAGAGAAGTCTATAGAACAGGACAAGTGACAGGAGATTCTAAAGCTGGCCATACATACCATGGTTGTAAGGTGTATGGCGATGGTTGTAAGGTAATTTAAAAAACGTACGATCTGCCCATCTTGGACAGGCAGATTGTACTTGCGATAATCGCAAGCCTGCCCCGCTGAGGGGAGGGCTTTCCGATGACTGCAATGCTGAGCGGGCAGTGTGCGCTTCCGCACACCGGCCCGTGCTGCATTTGTCTTACGAGCACGCCACAAACCAGCCAAAAATCTTAAGATTTTTCGGCTGGTTTTCAAACATGCTCGTAAGACAAAAGACGTGCGACCGTACAGTAGAAACGGTCGCACACCTTCTACACACCTGCCGATTATCGTACGATCGCGGGATTTCCCAAACTTATCGTACGATAATCGGCAGGTGTATGGGCACCTTTACACTCACACAGACACACAGAACTATGACTCATCTCTGCTCTCTCTCCACAGAGCAGAGATGGGAGGGGGAAAACAGCTGATTGCAGAGATAACAACCTGTCTCTCTCTACCCTCAGAGAGAAGGATTGAAGATCTACTGGAGGGAATTTTGAACTTCTAGGCCTCTGGCCTGTATCGCGCCGCTGACTCATCCCTGCTCCTGACTGGCCGCTGCGGGCGTTTTTTTTTTTCTTCTTACTTACCTCGCCGAGCGCCGCCCACCGGAGCAGCAGTGACGCGACGCTTGGCGAGGTAAGTAAGAAGAAACCTGACCAGCTCGAGACGCTGACTCGAGTATAAGCCGAGGGGGACACTTTTCAGCAAAAAAAATGGGCTGAAAAACTCGGCTTATACTCGAGTATATACGGTACACATCTATAATAATGATCCTTTTTTTCTGCTTTGATATGCTTGCTGTCGTATATTTTTGGGGCTCTATTCTGTATACCGGCTGCTTTTCAGAGTCTCCTATTTCTTTAATAGCAAATGTCATTAGCATCCCTGCTGAAGGACAGCTGAATTTGAAGTTCTCCACACACAGAAAGTCCATTGTTATTCATCCATCTGATCAGACTGATAGACTTGAGAAAATACAACCACTGTGTAAAGCTGGCCATACACCTATAGATGATCTGCAGAGTTTCTGCGGTCAGATGGAAAAGGTGCAACAGATTCCTCCATCTACGCTAAACTGTGTGTATGGAGGAATCTCCCACTGGACCAAGCTTCAGTATCTTGCTAGTCGGCCCCGCTGGCTCCCAAAATACCTGAACAATCTGATTGGATGCCGGCACTGTTCAGGTGTTTTGAGAGCCAGTGGGGCCGACTAGCAAGATACTGAAGCTGTAGTTACAAAACAATATTTTGTAAATTCATGAGCAAACGTCTATTTATTGACGTGCAGCATAGTAAACAGCAACGAACGTTTCGGGGTCACAGAGGAACCCCTTACTCAGGCAAAAGCATAACTAAACCTGAGGAAGGGGTTCCTCTGTGACCCCGAAACGTTTGTTGCTGTTTACTATGCTGCACGTCAATAAATAGACGTTTGCTCATGAATTTGGAGTGCCGGTGTCTTTATCTTTACTTCCTTCCATATCTGACCCCTTAACAAAATATTGTTTTCACACTACAGGTACGTGTTAAATTTACTCCTTTGTAACGTGTAATTCTAATATCTGATGTCACATACTGCTCCCCATAACACTCAGATTCCTTTATCCATTACATACATGTCACTGGTCACATCTGTCTGTATGAGGAAAAGGAATTGGCTGCAGAGATTTCTTACATCTTGTTTTTTTTTCATTCCTTTCACTGCCTGACAGGCTAGTATTGATCTCATTTACACCCATTCTGTCCTATGGAAGTAATTTTTTATATCCTATTTTATATGAAAGTCATCAGAACATGTGACCTTCTGTACAAGCAGCACATTTTTATTTTGCTCTTTTTCCCCTCTCAGTGCGTCCAGAGGTGAAGGTGTGGGGTCATCAGTCCGATGGGGTAACAAGACTTCAGTGTCTGGTGTACGGGTTTCACCCCCGAGCTGTGGAGGTGAAGTGGGTGAGGAATGGGGTAGACCATTTTCCTTCAGGTGAAATGAGTCCAATTCTTCCCCATCCTGACGGCACCTATCAGATCAGAGTCAGTGCGGAAGTACCAACAAGGAACGGAGGAGACACTTACTCTTGTCATGTGGATCACAGCAGCCTGGGGACTGAGACTCTCAGAGTGAAATGGGGTGAGTGATATTGAAGTGCAGACTGTTTAGAGAATGTCATTATTTGTTTTGTATTCTTTGTGGCAAATCAACTTTCTATAGGATTCTTATGCTGAAATACAAAGAACATTTTCATGGGATCTCCACACACAGCAGTCCCATTCATTTCTCGGTACAGCTTGTGGAATTTAGACATTTGTTATCCTTCAGTGCACCAACCCACAAAAACCAATCAGAATGCATTTTACAGTCTGACTTTAGCGGAGTATATTTTGATTGGCTGCTATGGGTTACTGACCTTGAAGTGAAAAAAAAGCTGTTTTCTAAAAAAATTGTGAAGAGGAAGGGAGATTTTTTATGCAGAAGAGACATAAGGGTCTATTTATAAACAATGCACCTTTCACTCTGCAGATATTTGTGAACATTAATTTTGTGCAAATAATGGCAAAAACAAACATTCTTAAGCTCTTAAACTTTTTTCAATAGTAAATCCAGATGAAACAAATATACATTGTCCAGCAAAGTATTTCTATACATTTTTGCCCAAACATTTAGGCCTTGTTCACACCAAGCGCGGAGCAGATCCAGAGCAGAGCAGGTGCAGACCAGATCAAAACTGCGTCCAATGTATTCCAATGGTATTTTGAGCTCCAGTTCACATTGCAGCATGCAGATCCAGAGCAGGTGAAAAAACTACGGCAAGCCCTATTTTACCTGCTCTGGATCTGCTCTGGAACGCATCAAAAACGCATGCAAGTGCCTGAAAGCCCATGTTAAACTTTAAAAAATGAAAAAAATTTTTAACCAAAAACGGCCCGGAACGCATCAAAAACGCGGCACAACCCACTGCACTGCGTGTGCAGAAACCTGACCGGATCTGCTCTGCATTTGGTGTGAACAAGGCCTTACAGTCATCATGTTTCAGATCAGGTGGCTCACTCTCTTAGCCCTGCTTCCCTGAACTTCCTGTCCAGTACAAGATCACAAGGGAGAACACAGTCTCCAGAAGCTCTTCATATACTAGCTTGGAGGAGGGAGGAGCAAGGAGTGGTTTGTCTTACTGTTTTTGTGTAGACATGCATAACTTACTGCCACACACAAGGGTGACTCTAGAGCTGCAACAATTATTCGATTAAGTCAATTAAAATCGACGATGGAAAACGTTGTCAATGTTTTCCATCGTCGATTCGTCGGCTAAAATTAAAATTTCTCGCTCACGCCCACCGCACACGCTGACTCGCTTCCTGACTTGCCGCTGCCCGCCGACAATCAAGGGCCCACCGTCATTCAAAGTAAGTCACTCGGCAACAAGATACCTTTTAAGTGCCTGTTCACACGACGTCCGTTTTCTGTGCTGACCTGATCCGTGCGCTCCTGCACTCAAAATGCATCCCAATGCATCCCACGGTCTGACACTAATTAAGCTAATTGTGGAGGAAGAAAGGCTGCAAATGCGAGACCTTGAAATACAAATTAAAAAGAGCTCAGATGGACTAGAACCATTAAAAGACTTAGAGAGTTTTAAAAAACATAATGACTTATTACGCAAGGAAGTAGAGAAAACCCCAAAAAATCTGAGACAAATAAAACAATCTAAATTCCAGAGAGACATAGGTGACTGGGAGAGAGGGGACCCATTTAAACCTTTACAAAACAGGGGCAGGAACACATCTAGACCAAGACATTCCACAAGTGGAGATGGACGCTCATTTACCAGTAGCTGCCTCATTTCCCACCCTCGGCTTATATTCCAGTCAATACTTTTCCCCAGTTTTTTGTGGTAAAATTAGGTACCTCGGCTTATATTCGGGACGGCTTATACTCGAGTATATACGGTAACCGATTTCCCACTAAATGAACATCATATAAGCCTCCTTAAAAAATGATTGTCTTTTTCCCCAGTGGATGGCATGGACGAATTTACTATTTATAAAGACCTGAATCTATTCCTGAGAAAAGTTTACCTAAAATACATACACCAACTTAGAAAGACACCTCTATCTCATAAGGACACATTACAAATAAAAGAACATAATATGTCAGAATTAGATGCACAAGCGTTAAAAGACCTAGAAGCCCTCCTGGAGGAAAATACTATATCCCAAGAACCCTGGGAAATACCAACTAAAAGGATCACTCCCCTGAAAAAAGGATCAAAAACAATGCCTAATTTCTTGAGTAATAGGTATCTGGCTTTGTTCAGAGAACTAATACACAATGAACTAAAACAAATAGACTGGACAGCGAAAGGCACAGACAAAAAATCAGAAAGGGAAGCCCTGAGAGAGCTCAGAGAAACACCTGGGATAATAATCAAAAGTAGCGATAAGGGAGGAAATGTAGTGCTCCTCCCCGAGGACACATACATAAAGGAGGCTGAAAGATTACTGAACGACGAAAACACATATACTAAAGTGAGAGAACCCCCCTTTAAAATGTTGACTAGTGAGTTTAACAATAAAATAGAACTCGCCAGAGAAGCAGACCTACTCACACGTAATTAATTCCGTTTTTTTTAGATAGGAAATTATAATATTCCAACATTCTACATTATACCCAAGATCCATAAGAACTATAATAACCCCCCGGGAAGACCTATAGTCTCGGCTGTAGGAGGACCACTCGAAAACATGGGTAAATATTTGGATTCCCTCTTAAAAGAAATGGTTGTACAGTTACCTTCCTACACCCGAGACACCAAAGATGTACTAAATAAAATAAATGACCTGGCAATACAGTAGGGCTCCCTTCTTGTAGGAATCGATGTGGAATCACTTTACACATCGATCCCTCACGAATGGGGACTAAAAGCCATAGAACATTTCCTAGATGTACATTTTCCATTGATGGCAACTCAAAATGAGTTTATTGTAGAATTGTTAAGAGTTTGCCTTGCATAACAACTACTTTCAATTCTCGGGAATGTTCTATAAACAGATTAGGGGTACATCGATGGGAGCTCCATGGGCTCCGTCCTATGCATGTCTCCATCTGGGCTTGTGGGAACAGGAACTAGTGTACAATCATCCTCTCTTCCTGAGCCACGCTAAGACGTGGCTCAGGTACATTGATGATATACTGGTGGTCTGGAGCGGAGGTGAGGACCTTTTGATATCGTTTGTCAAGGATCTAAACACAAACAATAGGAATTTAAAATTCACCTACACTCGAAGTAACACCAAACTTCCTTTTTTGGATCTCTCCATAGAAATTCAAAATCAAAAACTAATCACAAAAACATATAGAAAAAAAACTTCAGCAAATACTCTCCTTCATGCGACCAGCCATCATCCCCCGCCCCTGAAACAGGGTATTCCCACAGGCCAATTTTTAAGAATAAAACGCAATTGTAGCGAATCTGCTGATTACCTAAGGGAATCCAAAGATCTATACAAACGTTTCAGAGAAAGGGGATACCCCCATAAACTAATCAAAAGAAGTAAAATAAAGGCAAATCAAAAAATCAAGAGAGGATCTACTGAAAAACAAGGAACTAAAAACAAAAGGCCCAGTGAACGAAAGTAATAACTATACACGTATAATAACCAAATATGGATCCAATTGGGAAAAATTAAGACAACTCCTAACAAAACACTGGCACATATTTGATCTATGCCCACCACTATCCAAAATAGTGGGTCCAAGACCCCTACTTACAGCCCGTCCTTCAAGAAATCTGAAAGATAGTCTAGTCAATTCTGAATATACACCTAGTTCATCAAAACAATCACCCCTAAGTTATAAAAAAAGACTCAAAGGCATGTACCCCTGTGGGGGCTGTCAGATTTGCCCATATATAGACAAAGCCAAAACCTTTAGAAACTCGGAGGGCACAAAATCCTTTAATATAGTAAGCTTCAATAACTGCAATTCAAGCAAAGTTATATACCTAATTGAATGCCCATGCCAGAAGTTCTATGTGGGCAAAACTAAAAGACAACTAAAAGTAAGAATAGGTGAACACCTAAATGATATTAAGAAAAGAGACATAGACAGTCCCCTAGCCCAACACTTTTTGGAACACCATAAAGGGATCCCTGATGGTCAAAATTATTTATGCATTAAACATTTCACCCCGCAGAGGAGATTTGGATAAGATCCTTCAACAGCTGGAGAAGATGTGGATCTACCGATTAAACACGATGTTACCTATAGGGTTAAACAACGAATGCAATCTTAACGTCTTTTTATAAAATAGTGTGTTCAACTTAATACATCGATAGATCCACATACTTCTGAAATTAATCCACATATATAGGGTTAAGTTGCCCTGAGAAGTATGTACATATCGTCATGTATGAGAAGATATAACAAAAGAGAAAAATTTATGTATACACACGGCCGTGTGGGAAACACTCTTTATATATGCAAATTTTAATCGTGTGCTGTCTAATGAAACCAATAAATGGTTCCACCTGAAGGAAGGGGAATTATCCTTCACAATCTAAACTAATGATTAAAAAGGAAGAAAGAGGTGTGACTTAACCATTTAAGAAGCAGTTCCCCCGACCTCAGAGTATGTCCTGACGAAGCCCCGCATAGTAGGAGGGGCGAAACGCGTCGACAGACAGACAGAGATCAGACACACAACCATCATGCCACAAGTGGATGTATGATCCTGATGCCAGGGAACTCTGCCATATTTTCAATCGGGGCCCGGGGTTCTCAGTGACGGACAGACTACACCTAGAACATCCAGGAGACTGTCCAAAGATCCATTAAGTGGAAATATCCCTCAAATCTACTATTTGGGATCAGATTGCAACAATCATCCCCTGGAGGAAATAACAAGACATCTACACATGTGAATGGACTATTGGACCTCACAGGAAGGAAAAAAATCTTCAAACCGCCCGGACTATAAGAAAACTTCA